TGAAATGTAAGTTGTATTTTTAACTATCACAAGCTGTTACAGCAGAGGAATACTTACAGGAAGCACTGAAATTGTTCCTGTCCAAACATCTGACACACACATTTTCTATATCAATACAAAAATGTCATATTCATTAACAAATTATAGCACTAACAATCATAACTCCACTTCCTTGCTTTTACCAATGCAAATTGCTCACTAATGTCCTCAAATTTAGTTTTTCAGTTTCTTCTCTTTCTATACTCAGCAGAACAAGTTCAGTTTTCCTTGAATTATATATTTTTATGTAATACAGTAAGTCATTGGGTTACAATACCTTTGATCTATGATGATCCATGGTTTATGAGATAATCTCATTAATCTTGTTTTGACTTATGGTGTTTACATTGTACATAAGGCAGCATGGGTTGGTTCCTGGCTGTATGTCATATTGGATTGTTGTGCATTCACTCTTTCATTTGTTGAAACTTATTGATCGCCATAGGGTGCTTCAAAGAAAAGTCCTCACCATGGAAGTAAAAATAGACATTGTTAGATGCTCTGAAAAGGGAGAAACAACAATGAACATTGGCCGGTTGCTTAAGTCATTCGACTGTTGCTTAAAACCTGTATATATGTGTATACATATTGAATTTCCCTGTAAGAGAGATTTTCTTGTTAAACTATAAGTTGGTGAATTCCCGATAGAAAAGAAAAACAAACTGGAGTTTCTTCTCCAGATTTTCTGCTATGTCTGTACTGCAATAGTGACAAGATTTTAGGCTTCATCATCTCATCTATCAAGAGCATCACTGGCAATAAATATGCAATCAACTTAAAACCATTTCATTATATGTATTTATGTCCTCCATATTTTCACCTTTTTTTTTTTTTTTTATATATATAGTCCTAATTATTTTAACATATATCATAGAAATGTATTATGTCCTAGATTATTACTTTACTATTACATTAGGTAAGTAATGTAAGTGCTTATTCACAGAAAATCATGGGTATGTTCTGACTTGCATGGAAAATCACGTTACAACACATTGTAGGAACAGAAATGTCATGAGTCAAAGACACCCTGTAATTTATTTTTCCTGGATATGACAATAAACTACATCTGGCAACAAAGCCTCTGATCAGAAGATTTAAGATTTTCAGGAGTGTAGAACCACTTCTTAACTGCTGTTGCTTCCAGGTCCACTCTGATCTGGGCTTAGTAGGGTCCTAGCTATGGGCAAATTTTGACCCCCCCACTCCAACAACATATCAACAGGTCATTTTTATAGTAAAATGACCAAAAATATATTTTTGTAAAAAAAAAAAAAAAAATTACCAACAGTACATTTTTGTAGTGAAATTACCAGCAATATATTTAAAAAAAATACCAACAATACATTTTATGACATACAAACTATATATCTAAAAACATACCTTTACCATGAAAGTATTAAATTATGTACAAAATATTTAGATTTCAGCATTAAGTAACCCGTAGAAGTCGATATGCCACTAAACAAAATCAACCAAGCTGTAATTTATATGTGGTTTAATAATTAGTGCTTCTCACCCATCATAAGAGAGATTGTACATCTGAAGAAAATACTTTTTGTCAGCTATCCAAGGATAGCTTGTTTGACATTAATAGAAATTGATCAGTAACATTCAGGGTATATGTATGGGGAAAATGAGTCTTTCTTTTTAATTTTTTTTTTTTTTTTTTATTTAAAGTAAAGAAACAGTAAAGGCTTTTAATGTTTTATAGTTACATAATTTGACAGTATCCAGACAAGTTATATTAGGTACCTCCACGAGATTGCTAAAAAAATAGAGCATAACATGATGAAAAACATGCCAAACTTAATGAAAACAAAATTTTATCGTCTAAATGTTTGTTATTATTAAGAGGAAAGATCAAAGTATTTTTGGGATAATTTTTTTACATTTTTTAATTGTTCCTAGCATGTCTGAAATTTTCATTAAAAATCTTGTTTTTATTTGTTTTTAATTAGCAAAATTGACAGATAATCAGTCATGGCAACCATTTTTTGCATTTCATAAAAAAATTGAAAATCTCAGTTTGAAATTCTTTTAAAAATCAATTATCATTTTTTCGAAACTTATTTTGAGAAAATCAGAAATTATAATGTTTATTTAAAATATTTTGAACCAAGCTTAACTTAGCTTCTGCGCCGAAAAGATGTAATTTGAAAATAAAACAAAGCAGGTCATAAACTTTCATGTCACTTGACAGGTGATGAATGACATATTGACGGATTACGTGAGGATAATTCCTTCTACAGAAGGAGAGAAGTGAAGTTGTTTACATTTAAGTGAACAAATTATTTACCTCATTACTTTTAAGGAAAACTTTCCGTGCTCTAATATATTTTTTTTTTTTTTTGTACTTATCTTTACGTTTACAATGCTCTATGGAAAATATATTTTAAAGAAATTAAAATAAGACTGTTAAGAGTGAGATTAAATTTCATAAGAAAGGTATCTAATTAATTTATAGGAACCTTTCTTATGAAATTTTATCAGAAGTGTACATAAAATACTATAATTTTATGTACATTTACTACATTTTATGTTATTTGTATTTCCATTCATTTTATTATTAATTTTGATATTTCATTTATGGAAAAAATGTCATAACTGAGATTAATATAAAAAGATCATATAAATTTCATAAGATGATACTGATACTTGTAGGTACCCTTCTCAGTTGAAATTGAAAAATCAAATTAACTTCTCCACACGTGTTTCGCAAAAGTAAAGACCTTAACAGCGAAGAACAATGCTTAACTCAAATAACGCAACTTAATTGTATTCTGGTTGGTTACATTTCTTAATTACTACGGATCTTCTGATTAGTCAAAATGATACAATTTACAATGTGCTAAAAAAAGATTTATCTCATAAGGACACTTAGGAAACCTGATGCAGCTTTTAACTAATTTTATAATATTTTAACAACTTAAATGTAAAAATCTATTACAATTAAAGAAATAACAAATAATTGTATTAAAAATTCATTTTCCATAGAAAAAATTTTTTACTTTCAAAAAACATTGTCCATATTCATAAAAACAACTAAAAGCAAATAAAATTATTTGAAATTAAATAATATCTTTGTTTTATTGAGTTTTGTATGTTACAATTCAGAGCTGATTTTCAAGTAGAGCAGATCCAATTAAAAACAAAAAAAAACATAATTTGCATTCCTCAAAGCTTTGTGCTTTTTAATCACTAAACCTGATGCAATCAAATTTCTAGAGTTTTCATAAAATTAGTTATGTGGGGGGTAATAAATATTAAAAAAAAAATTTCTGCCATGACTTTAATAAAAAAAAAAATCATATTTATAATAATTTCAGTCATCTGTGAATAGTTTCTGAAAGTTTCATTAACATCAGACAATGATTTTTATTTTTGCAAGATTTTCTACAATAATGTGTGTCATAAAAAAAAAAACATGCTAAAAATTGTATATGTTACTAGTCCTGGTGATACAAAGAGAAACAAGATTTTTTTTTAATCAAAATTTAGAATGTTCTAAAGTGAAGGAAAAATTTTTTAAAATAATTAAAATAAACTTTGGTCTTTCCTCTTCATAATAACATAAACATTTAGACGATAAAATTTTGTTTTCATCAAGTTTGGCATCTTTTTCATCATGCTATGCTCTTTTTTTAGCGATCATGTGGAGGTACCTAAGTTATATGTATAAGATTAGTCAATATTGCTCATTATAAGGGGAATCAGGTTATCTATAATTATGCACTGGCATATGAATAAAGGCATAAATTTACAAGTCTTTTACATTGTCTTCAACAAGATGGTTGTTGAACACCTCAACAGGAGTGATAACCAGTATAGATTTCACTTTGTTAGGTCCACAGCTGATGTCATTATTCAAAGAATCAATGAAGCAATAAATTCATCATGAAGACCATCACCTCAGATATATGAAAGCCTTTTGACAAAGTGTGTCATCAGGAGTTGCTATATAAATTCTCCAGCTATAGAATTTCTGGAAGGGCTTTCTTATATGAAATTGATGACAACATTACTCAAGGTTTTCTTCTTGATCCTACACTCTTTCTTTATTAATGATCTGTCAATCTTTAATGAATATCTACAGTGGGCAATGGATAAATTGCAGTCTTTATGCAGAAATGAAAATAATACCATGGAGTCATTCTGTGTCAAATCAACAAGGATCTGACCATAACTGACACATTTTTTTTTGTTTTTGTTTTTTTTCAAATTTGGTACACTAATAGTGCTTCATGATAGAAATTGAATAGTACCTATTTTACATCTTCAGGTTTTTACAAGAGCCAGATCAGACCAAAAATGGAGTATTGCTGACATACCTAGGCTGAAGCTGCCCAGTCTTCACTTGACAGTCTGGATAGTTTAAATGTCTCTGCAGCCTTTTGGGTGATGGATTATTTTCCACCCTGCAACCCCTTTCCCACAGACAAAACCTTGCAAACCTCTTGCTATTTCCAGAAGTGCTATGAGCTACATTCCTTAAGTCCACCTGTCTTTACCTTTGCAAATGGGACACAACATGCCATGTACATGGTGATGAATCCTTCACATTATCTTTGTATCCCATTAACAAGAAGAAAGTTCCATTCAGACCGCTTCTTCCCAAGAACTACTGCTTTGTGGAACAAACTCCTGGCAGGAGGTTTTTCCTATCACTACAATCTTAACATCTTCATGTCTAGAGTTAACCATTCTTTCCTACATAACCTTATAAACTTCACTTCTTGCCTTCTCTTATGCTCATACAATACTGTTTGACTGTTTGACTCTTGGTTGTGGTATTGGGTGAACATATATAAAAAAAAAAACACATTGAAAATCTACTTAGCACAATCATTTGCAAAACAAACAAAAAAATGAAGCCTTTCATAATGATTATCAGCTCTTCACCTCAAAATGACTTATCTGCCCATATTCATTTCATTTGTTTTTATGTTGTTCTGCTTATATAGGGTCAAAGAACTTGAAACAGCTTTACTGGAGCCTTGTGATTTTGGAACAGTTCGTAACATCTGCCGGGGTCGTCCAGTACCTGCACAATTTCGCCCAGATATATGGCAGGTCAGTTATAATGTTTATAAGTATTTTAAAATTAAGAGTCAAAATGATTTTTTTTTTTTTCTTTTTTTTATGTTTAATTGAAGTAGCCTATAGTGTTGGGACATTTTGGATACTGCATGTGAGGTTATCAAAATCTCTTACTAAGAATTGTATAAATTGTAAAAATATTATCATTTTTATTTCCTCATATAAATGTTTATGCACCAGAAAAGGTCTTTCTCTCTCTCTCTCATTATAATCATGAGATAGAGATTTCCAGTCTCACTTTTGATTTTTTTTTTTTATTCTGTAGTACAGATTTTTTTTCCCATTTTCTGTATTGATCATTGCTTTCATTGATGATTCACTATATTTCCTAGTTCTATATCATTCCTTTTTTTACCAGCATTGATTTACTTATTTTTTTTATTAATGAAAAACTTTGTATTGATTTAATTGAAATCATTAATATTAGAACTTAGCCTTTCCTTTGTGTTTATACTCCTAAAATACTCCATATTTTAAAATTAAGATCCATTGAGCTATTAATATAAATTAATCCATTGAGCTATTAATATAAATTTGCCAAGATTGTCATTTTCCTTTCATGAAAAACCAAAGAAAATTTTTAGTTTTAATACATATTTTATATAATCTAACTTCTATAAATGTCACTGTATCAGTACAGATAGTTTGTGAATATTTGATTAAATTTTATCCATATGTTAATATGTACTTTTAGCAAATGATAATCAAGGACGTGTTTATTGATAAAGAATCATTTTCATATTAGATTTGCCTGAATATCCAAGGGCGAGGTGATGCCATGGCTACGTTTGATGGCCTTTATGACATGGGTGAACAAGCTCAACTCAGAGAAGATTGTACAATTCTTGTAGGTAAGTAAACCTTATAACATTGTAACTTTGTTAGTCAATTGCGATCAGATTTAAAGTTGGGTAAGATTAAGGTAGAATGCCGTTTGTTTTATGTTCTATGATCAATTTCAATGCAATTCTCATGCAAATGTACGATAAATAACATACTTTCTGTGTTGAAATATTTTTGCGTGAATACAAAATTTAGTGCAATAAAGATAGATATATTAAAAAAAAAACAATTCATAACAATAAAGAGGAGATAAAATGATAATAATGAAAGATAGCAACATTTAACATTAAGACAGCTAAACTGGTTAATCAGTCCTCTTTAAAGAGCAATAAATGTGCACAGTGACTAAAAAAAATAACCGTGACAAATTTATATACAAAAAATATAACACTTAAAGGTTAATTATCTTTAAGCCTACCAACCACTCCTATTTACAAAGAGATGGCTGGTAGGACTTAATTCACACTGATTCCAATACTTCCAAGTGGAAATCTGAATCAGTACTGAGAACATGTCTGGGTTTTTAGACTGGACACACTGCTGGCTTAATCAAATGTTCAGTTAATGCTGAATCTGTCACATTTACACAGATGTATAAATCATCTATCTTTCACTGAGAATATTAGCTGGTACATGTTAGTTGAGCTGTACTTCCAACATTTGACCTGTTCTGCCTACATAGTCAGCATTGCACTGACCTGATGTCTAAATTGGTAAATTACTGAACTGATTGGATAGGTAGACGGAATATCTTTCCAGATTGGTTTCAACATAGGTTGGACACCAAAAACAAGGCATAGATTGGTGGAGAAATAAGTGTTTTGTTTTTTTTTTTTTACTCGCATAGTACATACAAATACACTAGACATTTTGGGGGACCAATTGACCTAGGCTTATAAAATTGTTGTTTTTTTTGTTTTTTTTTACAAAGGCTGTATTCCACTCTCACTCAGAACTTTCCTAATAAATTCAATTTCAGAATCCAGCTTAGTCACAAAACATATTACCAAGGCCTGATAAACCAAGGTTTTTATCAAGTTGACTTTTAGATTCTTTTAAAAGGAATCTCACTGGTATATAAAACCATAAAAGTTGGATTCAAGTATACTGATGTATCATGACGAGAAAATAGAGAACCCTATTGTTCTCCTTTTTGCATAGGAAGTGCAAACCTGGGTGCAACATGTGCTTCTTGGAATATCTTAGCCTCAACCTCATTATCAAATATGCAAAAGGTCTCATCCCCCATATCTAACATAATAATTGGGTACTTTAATGTTTGGAAGTAAATCTTGCTCAAAAAATCCACCAAATATCTTTGCCATTATTGGTTCTAAAGAACTTCCCATCACTATCCTGTCTATTTGGCTATACACAGGGTCAGATTATGACTTTTTCATGCTGCTAGGCTAATGAAATTATGGACTGCACTTGAAATGGAGCCACTCTCTAACTTGCCTGCACCCATCTTGAATATGTTTTAGTCAATATATATTTTAGTGACATTTACATAGCTTGAAGCAAAATTATTGAAAATTCTTTAAATAAATTAGAATAGCTATCTTTTTGTTTGTCAATAAAAATATTCTTTAAGAAATACCACTATTTTAATATTTATTGCAAATTAGATTAGCACATATTTCAACACAACTGTAGTAAAAGAACAATTTATTTTTAAAACCAACATTATAATAAAATAATCAAAATAAATATCTAGTCCAACTGAAAACAAATGTTCATTATCTTAAACATGTTCCACATTTTTACAAAATGAGCTCCGTGCTGATTTCACATATAGGGAAATTTTGGCTTTCCTTTCAATAAATAGTGACATTATCACGTAAGCATTTATATAAACATACAGAGCAATGTCAACAAAGAGTTTTCTTTATGACGAGGATTGTATTGCATTTTTGTTTCAATAAATAAGCCATAATTACATCAGAATAATTGTTCACAGAACAAGATGTTAAGATAGAAGTTCTGGTCCAAATGCAAAATAAATAACACAAATGTCCAATGAACAGAATTAATAATATTTGCAATAGAAAGAAAGAGGGACAAAAATTAAATGGTATCAGGCAAGCAAGCAAATAATATAAATAAAGCAAATTCACAGGTAAAGCAGAAAGGTTTATGAATCACAAATTAGTATCTACACAGAAAAACTAGGTTAAACAAGGTAGATCTGGACTGAGTAAAGTCAAATTGTGAATTGATCTATTTTATTGACTAAGAAAAGTACCCCAGTATGCATTTTGTGGATTTTGCCTATAAAAGAGGAGGGGAAAAACTTTTACAGTCATTCCTACAGATTGGTTGGTATCAGGGTTATGCTTTTTCTGGTCTTGGGTGCCAGCAGCGAACTATCTCAGCAACCCTGAGTTTTCGCTTACCTGGCGATTGATTTGTAATGTGCTACCTCTCGGATGGGGCTAGGCAGATTTTCTCAATTGTCATTACTTTAGAAGAAACAACTTTGCACGCCTTCTACCATTGTCCTCATGTGCATCCTTTCTGGGACTATGTTAGTGAGTTGACAGCTTGTATCGCACTCAATCAGCTTGTGCCCATTGATCTTGCGTATGTGTATGACAATGTGTTGCCCCTGTTCTTCAGGGTGAAATGGATGGTGTTTTTCATGTTGCTAGCCATGGCAATAATGGTGGTATGGACGTCGTGAATGGAGGAAATCTTGCAATATGAACGGTATTCTCATCAGGATCTGGTCAGGTTCTTTGAGCATCAGATCTGATAGAAAGCATTTGATATCGACAGATTTCAGTGAAAAGTGGGTATCTGTCGCAAGCCTTGATTTTTCTCTTTTAAGTCCCCTTGAGTACAATGAGATGAATTCCTGTGAATCTGCCTCTAGTTAGACATTTCTTGTTTTCCTAGTTAATGTGAATAAGTGTTGTTCCTGGCCTGATCTCAGCACTGTTTTTTCTTATGATCCGTGTCGAGATTCCCAACCTCTCCAGTTTGTTTTTGTCCCCCTTTTTTATCTTGGCTGAGTCAGCCTGTGTTTTCTCATTGCGCCATTTATTTTATCCTTCCCACTCCATTAGTATTTGTGCTTCTATCAGCAGAATACAGTGGCCACTCTTATTGTTTTGAGGGTCCTACTAACATCTCTTTTGTTTTAGTTTGAATATTTTGTTGATTTTTAGTTTTGTATTGTGGGTTCGTCCCCTCCCCCTGCATTTCATGTTTCATGAAATTTTTATATATTTTTATAGAAAAAAATAAGAGACATTGATCATTTATTAAATTTTTACATCATTGGGTGTTTTGTAGATCCCCTGTGAATATGTGGTATTGTAGTATATGTAGGATGGAGAGGTAATGGACAAATTTTTGTGGTGACTGAGTACATTGTTTTGAATGGATGGGTCGTGATTGTGATTGACTAGGATAGTTACTGATGACCAGCCTTTCACCACTTCCCCCTTTGCCTTGTGCCAAAATTTTTGTATTACAACAAAAATAAATATACATTCCTACAGATTGAGATTGTGTTTTTTGTTATGGGGTGGGGGAGTTGTCCATATTGTGCAACAAGACTCTGTAAGTCAAGCTTTTGTTCCCTAGTGTTTTTGTATCTGTCTTTCTCTGTCCTTTTTTTTTTTTTTTTTTTTTTTTTTTATCATGTTTGGTGTGAGGGGGCATGGCCATTATGGTGGAGTCACCCCCACAGCAAACTGCTTCTGTGTCACTAGAGCTTTCAGCATGGGCCGCAAACAAGCCCAAGAAAAAGATAGCCAAATAGTATGAGGTTCTTCAGGAAGTACACTCCCTTTACAAAAGGGAACAAATTTATTAAAATCCTAGAGGCCCTTGAGGCCATAGCACTGACGACTGACTTGGTAACACATCAGCTCATTGGTGTCAGCAGGGACACCATGGAGGAGGCTTTAAAGAGCCTCCAAATAATACCAGAGGTCTTGGCTAAAAGCTTGAATACTATGTGGGACATTCTTCTTGGCAAAGAAGTTGGCAGGGAGCATATTGACAACAAAATCAGTATGACTCCAAACTGAATACATGGGTACCAGGCAAACCAAGATTACACTTCATGGGGTGACTATGAACATCACTGAGGAGCAGCTGGGGTTTTTCTTCTCTCAATTCAGACAGGTTGGGGATGTTGCAACAGTAGTGGGGAAAAATGTGCATGTCTTGAAAGTCATATTGACCTGCAAGAATTTCTTGGATATCCCAGACATTCTAACCTGTCAAGGACGCAACATCCTGGTTGTGGTAGAAGGCCACTGTCCTCATTGCTGGTCCTGTTGTGCTGTGGGGCACGTGTCTTGGGTGTGCCCTAGGAAGAACCCAGCACCAATAGGAGTAGCAACCAAAGAAGCAGTGGTGACAGAAAAGTCTGGCCAAACCCCATTAGCTCCAATGAATGGATGAAAGCTGTCAAGAAGGGCAAGAAGTCTGCCGGCCCTCCACCTTCTTCTCTTCAGAGGGATGTCCTGTCAAAGAAGGGAATTTGACCCGAAAAGCAGCAGCTGAAACAGCAGAAGGTGCCACAGGTGGAGCAGCAGCAGCAAAAGCAGTCTGCCAAAGAGCAGACACAGAAGTAGCAGCAACAAAAGCAGCCTGTAAAAGAGCAGAGGAAGCAGCACTAGAAGGCATTGCAAGTGGAGCAGCCACAGCAGAAGCAGCTTGCTAAAGAATAGAGGCAGTAGGAGCAGACTACTGTGGAGTAGGAGCAGGTTGCAGAGAAACAGCAGATGGAGGAGCAGGCACTTGTACTTCCGGAACTGGAAGAAATACCTACAGCTTGATCCTCCTTGCTGAAAACTGGGTGGGAAGAGGATGAGGGCTAGAAGATTACAAAGGAGGAGAAAAAGTCTGGATGAAGTAGGGTGGAGAAGGTCCTGATTGCAGCCAAGATCCAGTTCAACCCTGTTTCACCAGCCAGAGCCGAAAAAGAACTTTTGCCAAGTAAGGCAAGGAGTCTTCCTTCTTCCACTAGGGCTCTATCTTTCCCCTCCCTTAACACTTCTCAGGAAAAAAAAAAAGAGGTGGGGGGGGACTGTCAGGTAGGTAGACAGGCCCTTGAAAGGGACCTTTCTTCCCAGAGGAACTCCCTCTTGAGGCCTTTAAGTGCACTTCCATAGATGGCAAATCTACAGAAGATCCGAGGAACTTCCTGGATGCTTCTGGTGTGATTACCCTGATCAGAAACACGGGGGGAAAACCTCAAAGTGTGGGATCAACTGGCAGGAGCCAAGGACGCTTTCCCAAATATACGGATGGCTCAAATTGAATCTCTGATTTTGAAAAAAAAATGTTGTAAATGTGCTCAGGAAGAGTCCTGGTTATACTCCATCCCTCCTTATATAGGGCCTTATGGACATTAGTGGTATTGTCAAGGACGGTCAAATTATGACCAACATCAGAACTGGAAGTCTTGGACGATCCATCGGGGTATGATTTTCGTCCAGTCTGTGTTTAAGGGATCCTAACTTAGAAGATGTCTATCAGGCTAGCTAGCTTGAATGTGAGGGTCTTGAGGGAACTGGGTAAGGGAGCCTGCCTGCTTCATGATCTCTTGTCTTTTGGTGTGGATGTGATCCAGGAATCACACTTTGTGATGTTGATGCTTGTGTGCTGTCTAGTGACTTTGTTGTCTATTCTGCCTCATAGGCTATTGTATTGTGATCTTGTGAAGGGGGTTGTGACGGACTGTCTTTGTGGCTGACTCAGCTGTCAGCATCAGAGTTGTGCTCTTTTTGGTATTGGGCACCTATCTCGGCAACCCTGAGTTTTCACTTACCTGGTGGTTGATTTGGAACATGCTACTTCTCAATGACATAGCCTTCAGATGGGGTGGAGCAGATTTGCCTCACAGTCATTGGTGTGACCCTGGCTTAGAAGAAACAGCTTCCCGTCTTCTACCATTGTCCTCAGGTGCGCCCTTTCTGGAACTGTTGGCAAGTTGGTGGCTCGTATTCCTCTTGATCAGCTTGTGTCCATCGATCTTGCATATGCATGTGACAATGTGTTGCCCCCTGTTCACCGGGGTGAAATGAATGGTGTTTCTCACATTGCTAGCTATAGCTAAAATGGTGGTGTGGATGTCTTGAATGGAGGGAATCTTGTGATATGAACATTTATTCTCATCAAGATCTGGTTGGATTCTTTGGGCTCAGGATGAAGATCAGATCTGGTTGGATTCAGCTCAGGATGAAGATCAGATCTGTTAGAAAGTGTTTGATATCAACAGATTACAGTGAAAGGTGGGTATCTGTGGCAAGCCTGGTTCACGGGAATGGGGCTAGCCTTGATTTTCTCTTTTAAGTCGAGTACAATGCGGCGGTTTCTGTGAACCCTCCTGTGGTTAAGTTAGGCACTATTTGTTTTCCTAGTTAATGTAAATAAGTTCCTGGTCTGTTCCTGGCTCTCTTTTTTCGTTATGATCTATGTCGAGAGACTCTACTTCCCCAGTTTGTTTTTGTCCCCTTTTTTCATCTTAGCTGGATTAGCCTTAATTCCAATTCCATAATTTATTTTTTATCCTTCCCACTCCATTAGTCAGCATGCTAATTGATTCTGTCTATCGGCAGAATACAGTGGTCACTCTTATTATTTTGAAGGGTGGACAAACATCTGTTTTAGTTTTGTTTTGGGGTTTATTCCCTTCCCCATCATTTTCGTTATTATATAAATTTTTATCTATTTTTGTTAAAAAAAAAAAAGACTTTTGATCATTTATTGATTTTTGTCCTGGGTTTTTTTTGGGGTCCCCTGTGAATATGTTGTATTCTGTTGTATGTAGGATTCAGAGGTGATGGTTAAGTTCTTGTGGTGATTTGTTTTATTGTAATGAATGAATGGGTTGTGACTAACTAGGACTAAGATAGTCAGTGAAGACCAGCCTTTCCTGATTTCCCCTTTGGTCTTGTGCCACAATTTTCATATTTTTTATAAAAATAAATATCCATTCCTCTAGATTGTTACTATTCTCTTAAAAAAAAAAAAAGTTGATAAATTTTTCCATGAACAATGAAATGTGACTGTAATTTTCAAATAGCATGTAAGTTGCTCTTTTTTTCCTCTTGGACTAGTTCTATGTAGTTTTAGTTAATAATAAAGAATTATTTCTTTCCAACTTCCTACAGATAAACTTGGAAATGAAGAAGATGACCGTGTCTCAATTGTGAGTGATTTAGAATCAATAATTACATTCTATAGCAAGTCCAAGAATGAACCTTACGTTGCAGACAATGGATGGTTGGAAGTCATTCAGCCATTGTTGGCCATGAAGTATAGCAGGACAGAACTTTATAACAGTTTCTACACTGTTGTTACTAGGTACCTACCCAGGTGCGTGTTAATATTTCTCCTTTAGAATTGTGTTTGAATTTGGAATGGAGAAGGTAAGTTACAGACCCTTTAAGTGAGTGGCAAACAGGATTTGAAATTAACATTGTCCCAGGGACAATAGAACATTTGGGATTAAGTTGGATTATATTTATTCTAAAAGCAAATAATTTCTTAATTTAGTCTCTATACAAAGCTGATAATTGTAAACGAAAACTTTTTGATAAAGACTTTAAAAAATTTTTTTTTATTGTGAATACTTGGAATCTATTTTTTACATAGAAAATTAATGTGTACAGTAGAAGTATGATAAAAAAGTTACTCTGAGCATGAAAATTATTCAAGGTGATTTAATGAGATTTTTAAGCAAAAATAATGTGATTTTTATAAAAAAATTACTGTAAAATTTTACTAATTTGTTTCTTTGTATTCATTTTTAAAACCTTAATATTTTAGCCTTTTTAATTAATTTCCTAAACATTATTTTTAGTTATTTTTATTAAGAAACTATAAATTATAACTAAATTTTTTAAAAAATTGATTTTTGAGATAGTTCTGGAATGATGGCGAAAATAGATATTCTGGAACCCTTGTGGTAAAAACTAACAATATTTGTTAGCTAACAATTGTTATTGTTTTTGTACTAATTTTCAATGTGACCATCACTTAATGAAAAATATAAATACTTTAAAATTTTCTACTGTCCTGTTAAGATTCATCTTTCTTCAACTACTAGACAATGATGATGTAATTGTCTTAAAATAGACGAATTTACTTTTTACTCATTTGAAAACTGCTCATGTATTGATTTTATTTTTATTTGTAAACATCTAGTATTAATTATTTATGTTTTTCAAGTACTTTTTTTTTTTTTTTTTTTTTTTTGTTTTTCTTCATAATATCAACTGATTTGGTACAACAGTATGCATCTTTTTTTTTTTCCAATTAATAACAATATTATCTTATGTGTTATAGGGAATGTCGGAAAAATGGTAAACCATTTCATTTGTTCCGATTATTGCTTCAGTACCATGATCCTGAATTGTGTTCTTTCCTTGATACAAAGCGTATTACTCCTGATGCCTATGCTCAACAATGGGTAAGATCTTTGTTCCATTTCATTCATTTTCTATCTTATTCATTATAATGAAGCTAACAGAATTTTTCTCCATAAGACAATGCCATTTATAACAGCGCACAAATGTTTTATAAGTTTTGTGCATCTGGTAATTCATGTGATCAAAATTTGATTTTTTTTTTTTTTTTTTTTTTTTTTTTTTTAACAATCTTTCTTGCTCTTCCTTTTGTGCGTGTATAAATTCTTTCATTATAGGATCATTATATTCACTTACTAAATTTTTCTTTCTCAACTTTCAAAGGCACATGGAAAATGTTATAACTAATAATATGCATGTTATTAATGTAATCATGCACTTGTTATAACATTTTCTTTTTCTATTAATACCAAGTCATTTTGATTTTGTTTTTTTAAATTGATGTTTTACCTTTTCTGGTAATACTAAATCTATTGTGGTTCGTCTTGTGAAATGTGTTTAATACATCTTGCAAAACCATGTTTCACTGACTTGTATATATAAAAGGTTTTATAGAAAGTTTGAAGTATTTAAAGAATTTCAGTCAGAAACAGATTTAAAAATTGAAGATAATAAGACTGAAATTAAAGCAATAAATTTTATTTATTAAATGATAAAACTTCTGTTTATATTGTGCATGTAATTATGAAAATTGCAATTGATGTATGCACAAAGGAATTAACAATAAAATGTAGTGAATAGTTGTTTATTCATGGGTAAACATACATTGTATAATATGTAAAAAAGACATATGATAGAGATAAGCAAAATATTAAACTCCTGTGATCAGTAGATAGCAGATGTACTTGAAAAAGCTTGTTGAATGTAAATTTTAGAAATTTAGAAACACTAATATGTGAAACACTTGAAAGTGAGTTAATTGGTTTAAATTTAGAAAATGAATTGATTTAAATCTCAAAAGAAGACTAGGCTATTACTGAAAAATTAATTATACATTATGACCATCTCCAGAAATGACTGTAGATAAATAATTTGTTGATTGAACAGCAATATTTTTCCTTTTTGATTGATTAAAAAGTTAATTATAAAATTCAAATTCTTGCAAGCTGCGATTCTACTTTGCAACTAAATAGAATATAATGTTATCCACTTCATATATACCTACCCTATGGTAATGAGCAATATAAGTTTTCTGTTGATACCTTATAGATTAAGACTTCAAGATCTTTAAAATCACTATTTGGTATTAAAATTAAATAAAAATCTAGTTAAACAACTCTTATGTGCTGTAAAACCATTTTAATTGAAGTCTATATTACAAGTACATTTTTTAAATATAAATAATTCTCAGCTCTTGTCCCAGCTTAATATAATTTATTTAATTTGGTTACACAAGATAAAATCTTGACAATCAAAATGCCACTTTACTCTTCTGATTTTTTTCCAATGTATATTTAAAGAATTTTTTTTTTTTGTTGACTATGAAAATTTCAAGTTATCTTTTCTATATATTTTCTGCTTTTAGTTTCGAAGTCTTTTTGCCAGTATTTGTGATTTGCAAGTAATCCAAAATATGTGGGATGTGTATTTTCAACATGCAGATCCTTTCTTGGTCTTCTTTCTTGCTCTTGTTATACTTGTTAATGGCAGGTAAGTAAATGCTCTCTTAGCAAACGAATAAAATTTAATTTTTGTAATTTAATTTGTTTTATAACAGTCATCTTTATTTTTAACAAGTTGATATTTCTATGAATTTGCAGCATTTGTTGTCTTTTTCATCATAATACAAGTTTATTTATAAAATAATGTTGATAATACTTGAATTTAGGTATTTAAAATATGAAATTGCGGCTTTTGTTGATATGTTTATTTATATTTAAATATTTTACAGAATCTTGATTCATTATTCTAGTATTATGTAATCTTATATTGTATTTTTTTAAAGTATAGAAATCAGTGAATATGAGCCACATCATATGCTATAAATGTTTTAATTCTGTGAGAAGAAAAGTAGGAAGAGAGATGTAAAATTTGAGCATTAATTTCCTTCACATTGATGAGAAAATACTTGAACATGATTTTTACAAATTTCAGAATTTGATTGCAGTTAACTATTAACTGATGCTTTTCAGCTATTTATAATATGAAGCAATTAGGTTAACTAAGGGATGGAATGTTATGATTTGAAATCATTTATACTTACTAAATTTCCTACTATATTGCACACACTGGCATGTTTACATCTATAATTTGGCAAGAAATAAAAACTTTACAGTTTCCATGAAATTTGTAGCCCCCCTCCTCAATATAGTTTTTGTATAAGATTGTAAACTCTTGGATTTCCTACTGAACTGCTATTTAAGTAAAAGCTTATACCAACACTTAAATTACCTTGTACATTGTTTTTGAGGCTATGATTTGTGATTTAGGTGGCTTCAAAATGTATATGTATTGAATATACCATTAAGTTCAATACCATTCACTGAAATCTGGTATATTCTGCTTCTAATTTACTACTGTTAACTGATTATTATAGCAAATATAGTAAGCAGCATGCATATTAGATGTTTACAATCTGAATACAAATTACAGCACTGTAACTCCTTTCAAAAACAAGTAAATATTTATTCATTTGTTTTGCAATTTTTATTTTAATATCCAGTCATATACTTATTTATAAAGTACTAAGTGCTATTTTGTTTCTTTCTAATAAGCATTTTATTATTCATAAATAATTCACTATCAATTTTATTGTACATGCAATACTGCCTTACTTTATTATAGGCAAACATTTTGGCACACATTTCTTTTTAAAATTTTAATTATTCCAATTTAAATACCATATTTATATAAATGATTTCACTAATAAGTTTTTTTTTTTTGTTTTGCAATATTTTGATTTGTAATCATAATTTAATCATTTTCATTTATAATCATTTTTAATGTGCCTTATTCGTTCAAATGAGTTTGAAATTCTCAGACTTTTTCTATTTTTATTAATGTAGTACTAATTTGATATTTGTTGTTACTGAAAATGATAATACTCAGCTATGATGATTTCACAATTATAATACCAAATATGTGGAAACTTTAAAAGTATAATCTTTTGCTTAGATTTTTATTCACTTTGATAAAACTTACTTTCATTTCAGAGATCAAATTATTAGTGCTGAAAATGATAGCAAACAAAGTATAATAGGTAAGTTTATTTACATGTTTAACAATGATTTTGTAATATACTTTTGATTGTTAATAATCGGCTCAATTATGATGTAACAAAATCTTTTACAATTAAGTGAATCAAAATGTACATCTTATTAGTTTGAGAAGTTAGATTTGAGGTTGAAACTTGTTTTGTTTCACATTGTCAGACAACATTTATAATGCTTTTTTTTATTTGTTTTTTAATCATTTCATCCCAAGCAAAACAATAAAGTCACTAAGATGCAAGGGATTATTGAATGTGATGAATAACCCCTTGTCTTGATGAATTGACAGTATTCTAAAAAATTTCATTAAATTTATTTATTTATTTAATTATAATTCATAAATATAACATTTTGAATAAACTCACATGAGTTTTATTTTCTTATTTTATTCAACTGAGTTTCTGAATTTTTTTCCTTACATGGTATTTTCTATATCTATTGCCAAATAGAAAAAGATCAAAAATTGATAAAAACATCCAAAGCATGCATTGTACACTTTTTCTATAGCAGAATTGGTATATAGTCTGGTATTTAAAAAAAAAAATCAGCTTAAACTTCTTCAAACATTCGTAAAAGTATTTCTAGAATTTTCTTTTCATTCTTAAAAACTTGATATTTTCATTATCAATAAAATATTTACAATGTATTATTAAAATGGAGCATATTCATTTATTTAGATGTTTAGGTTATATTTAATGATCCTTAACTAATTTCATTGATTTTAGTTTATTTTCATTTTTTGGTACAATATTTTAAATTGAGTAAAATTCTGTTAGGAAAATTTTGGTAAAGGACACAGTTTTTTACTCAGTGTATTTTGGTATTAGCAAATCATTAAATCTAAAGCATTAAGAATGCTTGTACTTTGAATTATATTTATATAAATACATTTTTATATTTTATGTAATCTAAAAGTGATACTAATATATATATATATATATAATATTTATTAGTATCACTTTTAGATTACAGGTCTGATGAATTAGATCATATTTATGATTCCAATGGAATAAATTATGACCATGGAATATTAGTGTTTAAGCCTTTTTATTATATCCTTACTCTGTCCTGGACATTGAGTTCTACCTGGATTCTATCCTCTTGGAATTTTTTTATTGAAAAAAAAAAATATATATGTATGTGTATGCATATATATTTATTTATATATTTTGCATATGTATGTGTATATTTACCACTATTATTATATATATATATATATATATATATATATATATATATATATATATATATATATATATATAGTTATGTGAACTAAATGAATTTTTATTATTTTTCAAAACTGACTCAGACTAACTCTGCTGGATAATTTGGTTGTACTTTGAATCTCACTAGTAGTTGCTTTAATGTTGTACCCATTTATATTTTGTACTCTTAATGAATGTACATTGCATGCAAAACATTGTTTGAAAATAAAAATTATTTCATGGGTGATTATTTTAATTTACTCTTTATATAAATTATGTAGCATTATCTATTCTTCTGTGTCCTCGGGCATTGATCTATAAGACCGTTATTGGCTGAATTTTGATTTGATGAAATTTTAAAATTTACATCTAAATGGTCTCCGAAAAGAAAGTGCTGAATTAATTAATGAAGGGGACTGTTGAAAAATTAAATAATTGTGTGAAATAAATGCATTTTTTCATTAGGTCCCTCAATAAGTCTATTTTCAATGTAAATACTATGAAATTATGGTACTCTGTCAATTCTTTAATTTTTTTGATAATTCCTATTCAAATTAATATTTTTCAAACAAACTATAGCTCTATCAAAGTCATTTCAAAAGAAAAAATCCCAAATAGAAAATTGGGGAAAAAAAATTAAGTTAGATCTTTTCATAAGTATTCAATTTAGCAATCTCTCTTTAGTGCTGATATTTATGTAAAATTTTTGTGTTGTGTATGTATGTAATATATATTTTCACATGCTAACACTTAATGACAAATGATGTAATCCTTTATGCCTGGATCAGTACTTCTGCCTAGTTTTAGAATCAGTGTGTTCTATGGAAAGTATTACACATGATATACAAGGTGGAGTTAAAAAAAATTCTTGTACCAAATCCCTTTTCAAAATCTGGCCAAACATTAGAATTCTGTTGGGAAAGGCTATTTGGTTAATCTGGGTCCAACAATGTTTTAGCACCTGTTCAGGTTTATAATACATACATTCATTCACACATGCTCACACTCTAAAGAAAAGTGATACCCAAGTTTCAAAAGTGTTACCTAAGTGCAACCCAGCAAACATAAATCTTGGTTATTGGTGGGAAGTTGCAAACTCTACCACAATAATACAAAATTCATGGATCAACATAATAAAACAGATAGGAGGCATTATTTTTAGAGTGATTCTTGTGTGTATGTCTATATGTATGTACACACACACACACACACAAAATTGAGTATTGTTTTTATTATATATAGATGTGTGTGTGTGTTGAGATTGATGTGATATAGTTCTTTATTCTGTTTAACTGAAATGCATTTTTTTTGTTGCAGAATCAATTAGTTCTTTTCCTGCAGCATTAGAACCAGATGATATTGAAGACTTTTGCTCTTTGGCCCAGTACTATGCTTCCCGCACACCACAGTCTTTCAGACGGGTAGACAACATTTGTATATTCACCTGTGTGTGTGTGTGTGTGTGTGTGTGTGTGTATATATATATATATATAATCTGACTCCTCCTTGGTCTTTTGGACAGGAGTAGAAGTTTATCCCTTGTTTCCTGTTTAGGATTAGATTTCTTGTTCCTTCTAAATTTTCATTCTCTTTTATTCCCAGTAGCTCTTGCATTTTAGTGGTGTCACACCTTGCTTGAGGTGAATTGATTTAAAACTAAAATAAATAGAGAAGTTAATCTTTTGTGGGGTCTCTCCCAGCTTCCTCTATTTCCTATCAACTATGATTTTCAGAAAAATTTAAATGCAATGTCAATTGTCATCTGTCTGCTTGAATCCTTTTCTTTTAATGTCCTCTCTATTTCTTTCATTTTCAGTAGCCTCTTGCATCTTAGTGGCTTTTATTGCCTTGCTTGAGGATGAAATGATTAAAAACCAAAAAACACACACAGAGGCTGTACACTATGCCTTGGCAAAGATTTTACATTATATTCTGAAAGTTTATTCAAGTAAAATCTCTTATTGAAATATGTGTATATTCATACATATGTATGAATAGTTACGTCATAATCAGTTAATTGACTTGCCGTGAGTATTGTTTGTGTTCCAGATTGAAAATTTCTTTTCTGTTCCAGTAGAAAGTCTAGTTTTATGAGAATCATGCTAAATTCATTTTAAAAATCATAAATTGTCCAGTGATAAATATAATGAATAATATATAATTAACCAATATAACTAGTTTTAAATTAATTGATATACATAAATAAAATAAAAAGTCAATTTTAACCATTTTTCTATAAAAGGTCTTCAAGCATGCTTCTTATTTCATGATTTTCTGTTTGTACTTAAATGCCTTCATTTTCAAATGAGTCTTATAAATTTTATCTGTTGTAAATTATAAAAAAAATGGAGGAAAGATGAAATTTACAGGTTGTCAGTTTCTATTTATTTTTTTATGCAATGGCATTTTAAAAATGCTTTTAAGTTTAGATATATGGTATATCTGTTCATATTAGCTACAGCTATAGACTGTCAGATTTTATTATGCCAGTTAATGTTTTCAGTAAAATTGATTTACCAAATGATTTTAAATTTTTTCAGAATATATTTTATGTGTTAATATGGATCCTTGACTTTCTATAATGTTCATCAGTCCATTGACTTTGTTAGTTTTCAACTGTTTTGACTTCAACATTTCTTACAATAGTTTTTAGTGCTTCCCAGAGATCTTTGCTTGAATACTGTTTTCTATTCTCATATATATCTCCTTTTAATGTTGAATTACAGTTTTTCAATTGAATTAATATCTAGAGAGACTGGGGGCTCATTCTATTAATGTGGTGCCTTTTGAAACTTTCTATGTCTTTCTATTCACACCAACTTCAAATATTTTTTAGCGGGCCAATCTACATTTCTTGCTGTTTCCCCTTTTCATTAATCGTTCACTTAAGTGGCGTAAAATAAACTGCTATTCCCTAAGAGGTGTAAAATCAAAAAGACCAAGGTATATACGTTTATAACAATTAAATATTATTGCAACTGGTAATGGTGGACTATGCAACAAATAAATGCTGAAAACATGGGGCTGTTCTTGTACTGTAGGCTCCACAAAATGCTGCTAATGAATAATGATGTTATGAAAGTATATCCTGTGGTTGATTTCCTCAATTCCAGCATAAGCAGCTCAGATATCTGAATCAATGTGGCTTCCAAGCTGAATATGCCACGCAATCACCTCTTTCAGAATCTCTGCTCACCAATCTAGCATCTCAACTAAGAAATACTTTCACAAACCTCACTTGATACCACTGAATACTCTATGGCCAGTGCGCTATTGGCCACGTTGAAATTTACAATAAAAAATATTTAAAGATATAAAATGACAGTTCATTTTACACCATTTAAGTGAAACAGAAGTTTGAAAGATTATTTTACACTATTTATGTGAAGGATTACCATCCTTTTCAGTTTTATCAAATCTCTTTTTGTAATATTCTTAAAAACAATTTGTTTTTGCTTGTTCCTATTTTGTTAATGTTTTCAATTTCTTTTATGATTATTCTATGATCTCTGCTCATCTTTTTATGCTATTTCCAAAATTGTGTTCTCATTGCATAACTTTACAATATCTTGTTTCTTTTTTGAGGTTATATCTTTCTTACAACCCATGATGATCCTTACATATCTGAAATGAACTATACTATTATATCCAGATTAAATAATGCACAACTCATGAGTTGCATTATAAAATCTGAAATGAGCTATTGTAAATATTTCTAATACAAACAGAAGGTATTATAATTAATATGATATGGTTTTGAAATTTAAGAAAACTTTATTTGTTCTTTATATAATATTTTTATAATTTTTTTTATTTATGACAATCACAAAATTAAACTTCTTTATTAATACATTTTAAAGAACTCTGCCACGCTAAAAATATTACAATTTTAAACCTGGCAATAAAAATAGTTTTAAATGGGACACAACTGTAATATTTATTTAAAATCAGATTAATTTAACTTTAAATTTTCTAATTTTACTCAAATAACATGTCACAAATTTATAATTTAATTTGTAAAGAATTTAAAACCTGATAAATGTGTTTGTTTACAAATTTCTTAAAAATTAAGAAAATGGCTGTGTTTAAGAAGATTTTAAAAAATTGAGCAATTATTTTACATTCCAATCTATATAATTTTTACCTGAAATACACCAGAATATTTTACTTACTTGAAATAATAAATTTAATCCTTTAGCTTTCAATTAAAGCTAAAATGAAATCTTCATGAATGCTTTTTCATTTTTAAAAATTCGTTTTAAATCTTAGGTAGTTGAAAATTCAGTGGAGGTACCTACCATATACTGACTTGAAAGCAACCATCTGCAAACTTTTTACCAAAAAATGCAAGAACAACTACAACAACAATTAGAAAATGGCTTGCAGATTTCCAAAAAATAAGAAAGGATGAGGTAACACTAACCAGACTATGATTAGGATATATATCAACCACTCATACCTGCTTAAAAATGAAGAAATCATAATGTGAACTACATCTCAGGAACTATACACAGTGAAACATGTACTTATAAACTGTAGCAATGTCACCCCCAATCCAAATGAAGTATTATCAAGAAAATAACTTAAGAGTTATTCGGAAATACAAAACTAGATGATATACTGAATTTTCTAAAAGACATTACTCAACACTGGAATTTAAAGATATACCATTCCAAAACAATAACATACCAGGAACCATAAATATGCAACCTATCAGACTACACAAATATATAAACAAAAATACGCAAACAAAATACCACAAGATACTAATACCATTTTAGCATTAATGATGTATAGTAGTTGATATGCCAGTAAAATAACCAGTCAACCAATCAATTAATCAAGCCTCCTAAAAGTCTCTTGATTTCATTTGTGTACACAGGCACTTTTTTTTTATCATAGTTTCAATTTTCCCTGTATCTTTCTGGTCTTCATTGCTCATTTTGAAATAGGCCTCCAATGCTTCCCTTTCTAAATGAAACTTGTGACTAGAAATATCTTGCAGCTTTTTTTACTAACTTTTTTTTTAATTACTTTACCACATTACACTTGTATAGCAAAGAAAATGGCAAATTACCTCATCAAACTAAGCAACCGTGTGTTGGGTGTATCCTATGACGGAAAATGTGGCAAAAAAGAAAGTTACTTTCCAAAAAAAAAAAGTGCATATATTCTGCATGATATGCTGAAGACAGAATATCCAAATTAGAAACAAGTCAGTTACAGGAGTCGCTATAAAAGTAATGTGAATATGTTAATATATATTCAGTCAGGTCGCCCATCAAAGAAGGCTGTTGTTTATTTAAACCCGAAACTTCTAGTGACATGGGAGCAACAACACTGACGACTCATCTAGATTCAGCACTTAAAGGTGTATTTTAATAATAATAATGTGTCCTCTCCCAGTTGTCAAATGAAAAAAAAATGCTTGATCAATAAAAGCATTTGGTGTTTTCGAATCAGGAATGAAAGAAAAAATTTGTGTATTTAGCTACCACAGTCGTTTGTGAGTGAATTATTTTTCTGACTGGTTACGTGCATCGTGATTCGTGACATAGTACCTGCAAATCAAGATTTTGACATTTCTTTCTGTCCCTGATATTCGAGCCTGAACTCTTTTGTGGAAGTAATCTGCGAAAAATATTTCTTTTGCAATCCAAGAACTCTTACAAGCTATTTTGGCACTATGATGAACAAGACATTTGATGTCCAGTTGATACCCGAGTTTGATGATTCAGTGACTGGACAAGCAGTTACTGAATGGATTGAGAAGGTAGAACTTGTTTGTGACCTGTGTGGAATTAACAAGGCTGAACGTATTCTTCCTTTGAGGTTGACAGGTGGAGCATTTGCCGTTTACCAGCAGTTCAGAGCAAAAAGCAGATGTCGAGCAGGTAAAACAAGCCCCGCGAACTGCCTTTGCACCAGATGGATTCTTAGCTTACGAGCAGTTTGTGGAATGCCAACTGTCTGTCGATGTGTTTCTAACTGATTTGAAGAAGCTAGCAGATCTCTTTAGTGGGATATCTGAGCAAGGACTAGCATGTGCGTTCATAGCAGGGTTACCAGTACACGTCAAGCAGCTACTGGGTGTGTCTTCCACCCTGGAAGACAGGACTACAAACCAACTGTTGGACCAAGCTTGGGTTATAATGAAAGATCCAACTGTAACTGAAGAAATGGTTACAGCTAGCATTTCACTAGGCAGAGCTGATAAACTTCCAAATGTTAAACGTCGAGAAGGTATGCAATGTTATTGCTGCTCAGTTTGACAAGATGCCAGTCAGCCATGCATATCATGCACAATGATGTATTGCTTTCAGTGTCAAGGATTAGGCACATTACTTCATTGTGTCTGGGGAAAAGAGGAAAGGGACCTGTCTTAGGTGTTTACATGAACAGAATTAAGAAAGTGACACTGGTAGACATGGGCTGCTCACAGACACTTGTAAGTCAGTCTGTCAATCCTAGCAGGAGACGAAGGTAGACTTACTCACCATAAACAGAAATACCCTCAAGTGTAATGGAGTTGGAAGTATTAAGTTTGATGTGGACAATGCAAAGCCCCTCAGTTTCAAAGTCTTGGTAGTGAATGGAGAGTTATTGGGTTTTGACCTCTTGCTTTTTTTCTTTTTTTTTTTTTTTTTTTCTTTTTTTGATGAGGCTCCACCATCAGAAAACCTAACCGACAATGACACTGCATTTCACAGTAAGTCCTTTAAAGATTTCTTGGATGACTGGGGAGTTCAACTTCGTTTTCATTGCGCATATGTTCCCGCAGGTATACTTGAAAGATCTCATTGGAGCATAAAGAGAATTGCATCAAGAAAGCAGTGTTCGGTAATGGAGGCAGTGTACTGGCATAATATCATGCGAAAGGATGACATATTGTCCACTAATGTGCCTGGCAATATGATTCATATATACCAACTGAAAGTGAAAGGAATTACTACACTGTTACTACCTGATCATTGTAAGAATCATTGTATATACAAAGTTTGGAACAGTGTGGGTGAAAGCTCTCCATGGTTGGTGTACCTCCAAGTATCAAGTGGGTGGCATGATGAACATTGTGAGTCCACAAACAATAATAGTTGACGGGATGCCTCGGCATGTAAAAGATCTTCACCTTTTTGTTGATTCTGATACCAATCCAACGATGATTCATTGTTCAATAGTGATCAGATAATTGAGATCCGTGAATCCAATGCTTCCACAGATATGGAGATTCCAGAAACTCGAGATATGCCTGATGATTCCTCGGAGGATGACTCGCCAACACATGTAAGGGAGATAATTCCATTATGATAAAGTACCAGAGTAAAGAGAGTTGCTTCAAGCTGTCTGATTTGTGATAATGAGATCAGTAGGGAGTATAGCAAAGAAAACGGCGAATTACCTTGTCAAACCAAGCGACAGTGTGTTGCATGTATCCTACAATGGAAAATGTGGTGAAAAAGAAAGTTACTTGTCTAAAAAGGCACGTATTCTGCATGATATGCTGAAAAAACAAGTCAGTTGCAGGAGTCGCCATAAAAGTATTTTGGATATGTTAAAATTGTGTGTCCACCTCCAGTTGTCAACAAATGTTCTTTCTTCCACTCCCAAATATCAAGCTTGTAGTTTGTATCACTAAAGTTCTATTCTATAATCATCTTGGTAATATTTACACACATAGTGTATGATGGTGTTGCAATGAGTCCACTTTTTGGACTAATTTACTTCAGGTATATACCATTGTCTTTAAAAATTTAACTAAGCCTATAGTATAAATTAGATATGTAGACATTATATTGTTATTAGCTAAAAAAATAGATGAAATAAAATCCTAATCTTCATGATCCCATAAGCATAATACTATTACTACTATACTTGAATACTGTTGGGTCACTGTGCTATGGTTTGAAAATTTCATCCCCTTTCCTCCCAAACACAAGCAACATCCATGTGCCCCCCCCCCTCCCAATAACCAAAAGCTTGAATCCTTGTCAAAATGGTATTTAACAAAAGTTAGATGAACTTTGACATATCTGAATTGGATAATTGGATCACCTTCCATATGGAGGCCAGTCTTATGCAAAGTGTCCTGCTAAGATATTTTGCATTCAGTCATTGAAATCAGCCAAAATATCCTTGATGGTAATCCTTGAATTGTTCTTGATGTCTCTGGAATTTTCTTGCACACATTTGGTGATTCTTTGGGATTCATTCTTTGTCCTTTGTGGCTGTTCTTGAATTTTTTGATAACTGTTGGAACTGCACTTGAAATTGCTGGTATAAAGTTTTGAAGTTGTTTTTTTCATTGTGATCAGTAACAATCTTTAATTTGATCTCCTTACTGATTCTTTCATCTTTTACCATGTTGACTGATTTCCTTCTGATGAGAAATAACAGATTGCAAATGCTAGTTTCTATTTAATTCCAGTCTTGAAGTGCATGATACAGAATACTATACTAACCTTGTTTATGTTCATTTTAAAGAAAATGAGAAACTCTCTAGGGAAGAAGGTGCAAATAATTTCCCATATTTTGCATTTCTGTTCTGTAAGAATGATATGAATAATTTTAACATGCATTTTGTGATCAGATTGCAAATTATACTTTATTGAAATTAGTTTTTTTTCCATATACATCATATACATCATTCACTCTTTCTTTATATGCCAATTTGGGTAAAAAAAATGCATTTTTTTATGGAAAATACTTGTAAAAATCACATTTTGCAGGAATATGAATAATTTCAGGTTTAACTGTACATTGGTCAAGTGTCTATAACACTTTCATGTCAACTAACATGCAATTTAAATTATCACATTCTAAACACAAAACACTATCAACAGTTTTATTGAATTTCAAAACCATAACATAATTTCATTCTTGAAAATGACCAACAAAGATTGAAAATTGTCAAAAATATTTACAGATAATTTTTTACACAATTGAACCATTCACTTGTTCTCTTGAACATGAAATTGTTCTCTTGAGCATGAAAATTAAAATAAACTATTAAAAAGCCTTCTCTGTAGTTTTCAATGAAAATGAAAAATTGCTGCCAAAAGTTATGAGTATATTTACAAATAGTTTTAATGATTTATGTAAATTTTTTAAAAATAACTAATAATATTGATTATTTTAGAAGGCCTCTTTGTAATGATCTCAAAAGTGTAGAAGTTTGATAAAAACATTTTTATGTTAGTTCAAGAAAATGTTCATTACAACAATCACCTGAACATTTTTGTTGTTATATCAAATATGCAATGGATAAAATTCTGACTATACTTTTGCAATGTGGAATTAGTTTGCCATTAAGTTTATATTCTTGTAAATCTTTATATTTTCAAATACATATTTTAATTTTTTAAGGAAAAAATAATTTATTTTATTTAATATTTTGGTTTCCATAATTTGATCCTGTATCCTTCATATTGTTTTAACTTTTGATGCCTTTAATCATTGACTTTTTTGTGCTCAGCAATGTTGTCAGCACAGATTTACATTTATTATTTTGAATAAATTTTGAAAGTAACATTTTTTAGTTTTGAATGTATCTTTATATATATATATATATATATATATTTCTTTATAGGACTATCAATGTCGATTGTTTGGTAGTTCATTAGCATCAAAAGAAGATGAATCAATGCAAGTGTCACAGGCTTTGTGTCTTCCTGTTTCTGTTCATGAACTGCTGCAACCTAACCAAGCTGGAGTGGTAAATCTAACATTCATTCACTTCTTCATTCTACATTGTGTATTGTGTAAAATATTCTGTGATTACACTTGAAAATCAATGTATATGTATTGAAGCAATATTTTGTTCTCTAAGCTAGTTTAATATGTAATTAGTTCTCCAGTTCTGGACAACAGGATTGTTTGAAGAATGGAGCATTGAACGTTGTAATAATCTCTCTGTACTAGTACTTGAAAGAGGACAAGTCTGTAACTTTTGATAGCAAATCTCCATCCTTTTGTTTTATTTATACATTTATAAAAAAAAACAAAAAAAAAAAAACTAACAAGCAAAACTTTGCTATACATTTTTTTTTTAATGTATCTCTAGTTCTTTTTATCTGTGACTTAAGTTTCATTGACAAATTGATAGATTATCTAAATAAATATCTAATTTCTGAATATAAATTTTCTCTATTCAGCTGTTATATATTCATGCTGATATAATTTTGATTGGTCAGCACCAAGCAAAATGACACTTCAGAATAGATAAACATCAATGAAATGCTCACCATATTTATGGTTTCTTCAATGAAATACAATGAAAAAATATTTGTTCCTCTTCCAGCTTTGAATGTCTATTTTAAATTTTTATTAGGGAGACTCTGTTCGGTACTTTGTCGTAGATTGTCGGCCTGCTGAACAGTACAACAGTGGACACTTACCAACAGCCTTTCACCTTGATGCCAATCTTGTAAGTTATTTAGTTAAAATTGCTTCTGTTTCTTTGTCATGTAGATACTGGTGAGTTTTATTTTCTGCTTCAAGGAATGTTACAGATGTCTATACAAATTTATCTAAAAATCTAATTAAATGAATGCTATTTTTTGGTTTTTATGAATTCTCGATATAAAAACTATTTAGTGTAATGTTTTATAAGCTGTATTACTAACAAAAACATAATATTGAACCATTTGAAATTCTAGGTAAGTTACAAATCACAATTTGGATATAAGTTATTCATTCAGACTTATGATTCTGCTTAAAAAAAAAAAAGCATTCATATATCTGAGATTGTAATTGCATGAATACTAAAGTGAAACACATATATTAAGTTACTAAGTTTAAACCTCAACATGCAATCATCTTATAAATATCTTTAGTCCACTGTAGATTTTTGTTATTTATGTATCAAATGTTTATATTTTTTGTTGTTCCTTTTCAATAGATGCTCCAGAATCCCACAGAGTTCAATTCTGCAGTTGTAGCTTTATTTTCAACCCAGAAACAAGCAATTGCAGCAGGTTTTTATTTTTCCTTTTTCTATTAACCATATAGGTTTCCCTGTGGAGTATAGGGCCATAGCCTCACCACATGGTGTTGCTGCTGCTCTCATTTCAATAACAAATTGGGATAATGGGGTAGAGTAATTTACCTTTTAGCTTACAGTAAATATCTTCTCTCTAACTTATTTTGTATATTTTTTTTTTTTTTTTTTTCTATTTTTTTTTTTTTTTTTTTTTTTTTTTTTTGTTTTAGCAAATGACAATGGATATAACCGTTTCAAAGCAATGTGACTTTGGCAAAATTATAAGAATTTATGAGAAAATAATTTAAGCTAAGTATTTATAGATAATCTCCATTTTTTTTTTTTTTTTTTTTTTTTTTTTTTTTTTTGTTATAGGCTCAGTTGCTGGTGGAGAACATCTTTGCTTCATGGGTAGTGGTCGTGAAGAAGAAGATCAGTATGTACACATGGTTGTGGCTAACTTTTTACAGAAAGGACATCAGTATGTCAGTGTTGCCAGAGGTGGTTATGCAGGTTTGTATTTTGTCATATTTAGTGTGTTGTTTTTTTGTTGTTTTTTTTTTGTTTTCAGCACAGAAAATTCAATAATTAACTTGTTTGTTTATTTTCATTCATTTTCTTCTAATTCTAAAGCATTTTAAATTGTAATAAAGTAATTCTAGTCACCAAGAAAATATAATTCCTTTTTAGATTTTCGGAGAAATTAAACTTGATATAAAAAAAATGCTCATTGTCAAATATTGACATCAACTTGTTTTTTTTTATCTTCATAAAAACTTAGTTTCTATAAATGTAGCTATTATAAAATGTCTGCTCAATAATTTTGATGTCAGAATGTCTTTAAGAACCAACATTTTGTTTTCTAAAATAATTTTAATTTAGAATTAAATTAACTGCAGAATTTCTGCAACTTGCTTTCTGTTTAGTATTGATCTTTGATATGTGCTATGAAGATGGTGTCATAGCTTATAGTACTGATGTTTGTAAGTGGTTCACTAGGTTCAGAAGTGGAAATTTTGATTTGGAGGACCAAGAATGTTCTGACTGGTCTACTGTTGTTAATGGTGAACAAACTGAAATGCTGCTTTAAATATAATCAAGATTGCATGACACAGGACATTGCATAGATGGTCCACATTTTTCATATGGGTGTTTTAAGGCTTTTGAAAACACTTGGAATAGATGAATTGCTATGATGTTTGGGTGCCTCATGATTTACCAGAAAAAAAACATTGGTAGTTCTTAAAACAATTTATTTTTGTAAAGAAAGTCACAGGCAATGAAAAATGGATTGTTTATAACAATGTAGCAAAAAAGGTTCTGGGGAATGGGGGAATGACATGAGCCACTGTTACCTGAAGGTGATATTGTGCATTGGGATTGTGTGTTATGTGCTCCTTCTGCAAAATCAGATGTTGAATACAAACAAGGACTGTTCTCAATGAGACTGATTACAGGTAGCAATCTATGAAATGCTTTCAGAATTGGCCAACTGGAAGTTGTCATCCTCCATCACAAGGATATCACATTTCTTTCTAGACCTAGCAGAAATTAGAACAGTTTAATTGGAATGTCATACTACACATGCCATACTCACCTCACCTGACCTTGTACCTTTGGATTAACATTTAATTTAATCCCTACATTTTCTTAATGGGAAGAACTTAAATTCTTTGGAAACCTCTAAAACCATTTAGACCACCCAGAAAGATAGCAAGTTTTAGGAGGCTGAAATCCTGAAGTTGCCTCAAAGAACGCAAAAGGTAGTGGAACAAAATGATGCACATGTGGTTGAATGAATCTATGTACAAATATTTAAATATTGTCTTTGAAATTCACTTAAAAACTGTACAAACTTTTGTTCTAACCTAAATATGTGAAGACACAGGATGCTAACTTGAAACCCTACTACCTGTAATGGAGAGAAAATTTGAGGATCTGTGTGGATTAGCACACCCTGATAGTGCTGAAACTAAAAACCTAAAAAAATTTTCTTAAGCTAGTTATCAGAATCATATAATTTAAAGAAAATAGTTAATTTAATGCTTTCTTATCTGAATTGTCAAAAGATTACAAAACTTCGATATAGAACTTGTTTATCTAAAGTTGAGGATAAATTGGTGTTGTAAACTTAGAATATTAAAATTAATTTCATAAATCAGCACTACTAAGATAAGTAATGAAAACTTTCATGGTGTAGCTATCAAAAAGGATGGATATAATAACTTGTACCTAATGATTTGTTTCATGTCAATTGTGAAATTGTATTTTGTTCTATTATAAATATGGTTGTATTACATTTTACAAATTTCTTCATTTGTATAAAGCTTCTAATTTGCCTGTTAGTGAATTAAGAAAATTTGAACATTGCCAAGGAGCTTAAACTTTGATATTGAACTTTCTGTATAAAAAATTCTAATCAATAAAAAAAACATGGATATTTGGTACAGGGGAACATTTGATTATGAAAATAATTTTAATTATTTATTATCTTTGTTGCTTAATAAGAATAAATTTTTACAATAAATGGTCTTATGGAATAAAACAAATTTAAAAATTAACTTAAATCTTTTAAAATGTATAAAAAATAATTTGCATAAGTATTTTCTGTCAACTCATTATTTATTAAATAAAATTGAAAGGTTGTTAGACAGGTCTAGATCAATAAAATTGAAAAGTTACTAGACAGATGTTATTTTGTGATTTTGTTCTTTGTTTTTGCAAAATATACAGAAATTATATATTTTAAAATCTTTAAAATATATAAAAATTATTTTAGTTGCAATAAATTAAAACATTTATATTCAATAAATATAAATGTAATTACAAGGAATTCTTAAATAATAAAGTCAAGAACTATTCTTAAAATCGGATTTTCATTAGTTTTAAATTTGTGATAAAACTTAAAACTGTAAACAGCCTTTTTCATAATTTTTCTATTAACATCCCCTGCCCAATCATTTTTTTTAATAGTAATACAAACTGAATGAAATTTCCTTCATGATGACGACTTATGAGGTTTATCCTGTGTTATTTTTTATATATGCATACCTAGTTCTTTGTGATACAATAAAAAAATAATTGTTTGTTTTCTAAGAAATTTTTCTTTATTTCTTTTCTGTTTCAGCATTACATGATGCTCTTCGTGGCAACTTATCACAAGGATTGACTGACCACAACTCTAAGGCATGCATTGTGTGTAATCCAGACATGGTGAGCAGTGCAAGCGATCTTGAGAATGGGGATGAATTTGATCCTCCTTCTATTGGCAAAATTAATAGAGACTCTTTGCTTGGTAAATTGTCTAATGTAGTAAAATCTAAATCGGCAGAAATGAAGGAAAAATTGTCTAGTTACATAAAGAATGAACAGTCTGTGCCAGAGAGGTAAATATTCTTTTTTGCTTTTTAAATATTTTGATAAAAGGTTGGACATTTAACTGTTTTATTCAGTTGGATTGATTATGACTTTGCAGATTTTACTGACTAGCTAAATTTTATGTATGTCCAGAGGCCAGCTTCTGTAATTGGGATATTACTTGGTTTTATTGTTGGTGTCAAATCAAAGAATCTCATATGATTAATGTAAAGTAGGAAAATTTGATTAAAAAAAAAAAAAAGATCAAGGCAAAAATTATTTTAGCAGTTCATCTTGCCCACCAAATTTGCTATCCTTATATCATAGTTAGTGCTAAAGCTGATGGATTTATAAAATTCCTTATTGCTTTAATACTATTTAGGTTGACAAATAATGTATGTAACATGAACTCCTCAGCTACTTCTATAAAAATGTGCTCTTCATTTCTTTAGGCATGTAAGCAGTACTGACAAATTGGGGAAACGCTACAGGAACATGGCATCTGTGTTCACGATAGGAGATGATGAAGAAGGTAAGTAGAAAAAAAATGAAGTTTCTCATCAGCTCTTTCTTCTGAACCTTCTCGTATGTGAGCGGATATTGGGGAGTGATTTCATGCTTTAACTCTAAAAAGGCAATGAATATATAAAACAAGTGAGTTGTAGTTTGGTTTTATAAAAGTGGAGTTATGTTAAGCTGTCAGAAGTAAAAATGATTTTTACTCCTAATAATATAATCATTGTATTTTTTTTTTTCATTTCCCCACCTTTAACCAAAAATAAAAACATAACATTTTAATGGATCCTCTGTTATGTATTATTTTTTAATTTCAATTACCTGATATAATATTTAAAATAACATATTCCTCGATATAAGAAAATAAAATATTGTACATGCATGTATATAAAGAGGTGTTTAAAAGTTCTTGGTCTGACCCACTTCCCCATTTTTAAAATTATTTTTTAAGAAGCCTTGCATACTTTTAATTATTCTTCCTGTATATCTAATATGCTTTATTTCATTTTGACTTCAATTATGTTATTATTAATATTGTTTTTAATTGTATATAACTATCAAACACATTCCTAACACTCTCAAAATTGAAAATTCAGAAAATATAAGGATGGCAAAAAAGGCTTTTTCTTTACTGATTAAAATTCTAATTATTAAAGTTTGATATTTTATGTTCTGGTATATTGTATTTTCATAAATTTTTTCTTACTATTTAACAGAGGAGAGCACAGATGAAGAACAAAAGGAGGTTGTGAACATTGATACCTGGTTGCACAAGTCAGACATCAATTACTCATGTTTGTGTAAGGAGGTGCAAGACAACGGTTACATGTATCCCAGGTTCAGTGCACTTGCTTTATTCACTACACCTTCAATTATTCATCCTTCCATTTGGAATGGGGGGTGAAAAAACAATTAGTATAAAGTCCTTTTCTTTGTTGATTTCTTTTTTTGTCTTTTATAGTACAAGCTATTCAAATGTTAGTGTATTGAAAGCTACTTTTGATCTGAATCACTTAATTTATTTAGACCATTGTCTCCTTTTCCAAAATTTCCTGCATGGTTGTTCCTAATTATTCAGAGCTGGATATAATCTTATTGAAATTTGAATTCCTATTCCACTTAGAATAAACAAAATAAGTTTTGTTAAAACTAATTTTTAATTGATATAATGTTAATCTACCAAGGAAAAATACTTGCAGCATATATGACATCCTCATTTATGCAAAATTAAGAATTTGTTGAAATTTAAATTACAATTAATAAAAGTGATATCTCTAATATGTATCTTTCAAAATACAAGGCTTATTTGAAGTGAGTCCTTTAAATCTTTGCTATTTAATGCATATACGATTGGAAGTATTTTTATCAGCATTTTTTTTTTCAGAGGATGTCTAAAAAAATAGTGTTTTCACTTTTACTTAAATTTGATTTAAATATAATTATTGCATCTTGCAAAATCTTAATTTCTATATGTTACTTTCCCCAAAATCTAGAAGAGACATTTTTATGTTCCACTAAATAATTGAATCATATCTGAATTATGCTTCCATCTCTTTGTCATCTTTGTTTATAAGATGCTCCTACTTTCTTTAAGAAATGTTTCACTTTTTGATTGCATAACAACACATATAGACATGCCAAAAGTAATGGGGTGGGTGATAGTGTAGGGCACTCCTCTAATCCGGTAAAGTGTAACAACTCGATCTAGCACCTGTTCCACAGGTGGATGGAAGATATCTAAAGAGTTGTATCTGTCTTGATACCTGTCTACACCTTCCTGATATAAGTGCAGGATCTTGTGTGTGAATAAACCTCTTCACCATGTCCCAAAAATGTTTGAATAAGTTTATGTATAGTGGATGTGGTAGCAATATTATTTGTCAGAAGTTTCCAGGCTGATTCTCATACAAATTCTGGTCAACATGGGCCTGATGACAATGAAATTTCTACTGGAAAATTCCCTTGTCGTTGGGGTACATGGAGTCCAGGAATACTGCTGCCATATCTGGTCTGGGTCTCTTACTACATATCAAAGAAGGATCTGTAATGTAATCGATCCTGAACTAACATCTGATTTTCCTAGATTTAAAATTGTGATAAAATGTAACCTGACCTGACTTCAGTCAAATACTCATTGACATGACATTGCATTCCTGTCGTTTTTACATATGTTTTCATGACAATTGTTCTGATGAGCTTTTCTCCTTACTTCCATGATTGCATGAATTTAAGCGTTGCTACTAGATTGGCAATTAGGTCTCACTGTTTTACTATTGAACTACCTTAGATGCAGCCTTATGATGTATTCTAATTGTTTCTTTTCTCACACTTCTTGCTTGTGGAACCGATTTCTTGCTTCACTTCCACCTAGAATCTTTAAAAATTTAAATGTAATGCCAATCACCATCTTCTGTCTTCTTGAAATCTGTTCTTTTATTGTCCTTTTTCCTCACTTCTCCTTAATGTCTTCACTCTTGCTTAAACTCTTTCACTCCAAGTAACCTCTTGTGTCCTAGTGGCATTATTCCTTTGCTTGGGGGAAATGATGAAAAAAATGGGTTGAATGGCACCAATATCGAGATTGATTTAATACAGTGTTGGGTGATTATCATCCTTGTCAGTTGTTTCTGTTTTTGCATCACCTGTGAGTGCCAACAGTCTTCAAGTGATACTAAAGTTAGTCTACAATTCACATATATTCCTTATATACCCTTGCAACTGTTGCCAAATGAAAACCTAGAGTATTTTCCACCTCAGAGAAGAAGTGCCCTATCTTTTTGGCCCTAACAATCATTTCACAGTGAAATTCCTCATTGCATATAAGAACTGCCACATCTCCTTACCTTTTATGTCATACACATTTCATCTGGCTGGGTCTATATTTCTAGAAGTCGGAAAGATGAAACCATACAATGATTCTTTATTTAAACAGGTTTCTTTATCATTTTCTGACCCCATCTATGCTATGAAGCCAAACTCTTGAAAATTTATGAAAGCTAATCTTACTTATTATAAAATGCAGATTGTGTGTGTGTGTGTGTGTGTGTGTGTCTGTACATTTATATATTGGATCGGATTTCCTACATTTTTCAACCGATTTCAACAAAACTTTACAGGACTACATAAAATTACCTTGCGGTGGTTCTGACAGTGCCAAAAATTGGAAAAGCACAATTGTTTTTGCACGAAATCAATTTGAAAACACGATAAAACATGATTCTGTCGCCAGAATGAAAGGGGGACAAATCATATCAAGTTATACTTATTATAAAACCCAGGTTGTGTGTGTGTGTGTGTGTTCCTTTATATATGGGATCAGATTTCATACATTTTTCAACTGATTTCAACAAAACTTCACTTTTCTTTTGGCAAGTAGTGTTTCTTATTGTCTTGCACACTTTTTTCTTTATTTTTACATTCAGAATGCTTTAAAAATTCCATTTACAAGACAATTGTTTATAATAAAATTCTATTCAATCGATAGACTCATAACAATTGAAAACAATATTTTTGTTTGGGTTTGACCAATTCATAAAAAAAAAAAACTAAGACGTGTGTCCGTCAACCTTAAACAATAATCTTTGTCAATTTTATTTTTCAGTCTTTATGATGGTCGATACTTGATCTATCTCTTACTGTTACATCCCCGGGCAAAGCCGGGCTCTACTGCTAGTAAATAAATAAAATAATAAAACATGGCTAAAATAATCAGTTATGTAATAGCCTTCCTGAATTAATGTTGTAGATTATGAAGAAGTGGGTAGTGTAATATAGGGTTTTTCAAACACAGTAGGTTACAAGATAAATAAAATGGGTCACAAAAAAGTAACGAAGAAAAAGAAATTATGCAAGTGAGAGCAAAATGCATAATATGGACAACTTCAAATGTCGATGATAAATAAATGAACCTAGTGAACAGTTTGTCTTTGATTTATTACATGTAGGTATGCAATGCAAAATGTGGTTCTTGCTGTGGGTCACAATAAGAAAGTTTTAAAAACGGTGTAATGGATAGTCAATGAGAAATCAGGGTTGAGTATGTTACATTCACTTACACAGAGATGAATTCACACCTTGGGAAAAGGTGTGAATTCATCTCCCCACCCCTTCCAGTTATGGTTTAAGCAGACTGGAATCTTTACCCTTTGTTGGCAACCAGTCTAGGGAAACAGTTCCCATAGCAAGTGGGCCTGTGGGCTCCATACTTCTCAGGAAGTTTGAGACTTGAATAGTAGTCTGATCTCCACTTGTTTCTGAATCTAACATTTAATGATTAACATGTGGCTATTTTATTTACTCCTCAGGATGGCCACAATAAAGTTAATTTACTATCAATGCCAGATAAGGGTTAAGATGTAGGTGATGATCATTTTCTTATGTGGGACATCTGTTGGGTAGAGGAAATAAAAAAAATAAAATAAATGTAGATGCATTTCCTTTTCTGCTTTATTTTCTTTAATGGTTTAAAACAATTACTAAAGATTTAAAGTCTGAAAGTTGATGGGCCTTTCTTATGTGGCTTTATGACTAGATTTATGGATATGCAAGCTAATCTGTGATGTATGTTGAAAGGATAGCTTCTAGCTATTTGGTGACAGAAAGTAATGTTTTAACAGAGTGATCAATAATAACTTTTATATCTTGCACAACATAATGGAACAATTAGTTTGGAAGCTCACCTGAGTTGATTGATTTGTTGATGCCATGTAAAAGGTGACATTCCAATTATCTCTGGCTTGTTAGGTGTTTTCCTAACTATATTTTTGATGTATGTTTTGCAGTGAGGTTGTTTATGTGGCATCTCACTTTGATTGAAAATGCAGAGTCCATAAATTATTGACTGACCCATAGCTGTCAACCCCTGCTTACAAGTGATTATGCCCAAATTTCTCTCATTTTTAATATTTTGGCTTTTAAGGAAGCAGCTTGTCTATTCTCAAGGATGTTATTTTAACATTTGGATCTTTCTGGCCTCCTTTTGGGGTCAATTATTGTTTTTATCATAGCCCACTTGCTTTCTTTCCATGTCAAAGGAATTAAAATTTTTAATGCATGCATTTCCATTTTGAATCTTATCAACTTTATGTTGACACAGAAAGTATTCTTTTATTTCTAAGATCCTCTGGCTTCTAGTAAGTGAATGTAGGAGATGCACTGTTGGAAATGTAAATTAATTATGTTAGCTTAATTATAAGCAATGACTACCATTAACTTGAAAAAATGTAACTATATTTGTTTATTTTATTTTATTTTTTTTCAACATTGATATTTTCATCATGAAACTAATGAAAAATTATAAATGCTTTGTTGTTAAAGAAATTTAAGTGCCATATTTATTTATTTTGGGAAATCTTTCAGTGATTGTTGTGGATGATATCCAAAATTAGCATTGAAAGATTATTGAATATGTTGATAAAAATAATATGCATGTTAATATAAACAGACTTTCAGAACAAACAATAAATTAACAATACCAGAATGACATAGGAGGAGGAGGCCTATCATTGTTCCTAGCTTTAATTTGAAATATTCCTTTAATGCAAACATTGCCCTACAGGAAAAACTTTTTTTTTTTTTAAGAATGGAATTGCAAACTGATATCACACTAAAGGCAATTTTAGTATTTACCATATTATAATTTTTCATTAATCCCCAAAAATACAAACAGGAAGATTCATATTTATTGAAATAACAAAGTATGGATGCCTCCTTTTTGTACACTTTCATTTTTTTTCTAGGTAATTTTTTCAAAATAATATTTATTATACATGTATGTGTCTTCGCATTTTTTTCAAAATATGTAATGGTGGCAAACCAGCATGCATCTATTTATTTACCATCAAGTCATGTGATACAATTTAATACAGATTATGTTTTACATCTTCACCTATCAAGTACTTGCTAAACATCCGAGATATTTGTTTATAAAAAGTTCTAGTGTAGTAAATTATATAATGTTGTATTATGTATTTAATAATTTATTTAATAATGTTGTTACAAGGTATTATGAATATTTATTATTTTTCACACACATAATATGCAAGTGTTTATACATGGATTTATATAAGAATGTGTATTGAAAACAAATATTGAATTTACTATTTAAAATGCAGTAAAATATAAAAGAAAATGTCCTTAGCTCAAGAACTCCTTGTCAGAGGTTCATGGTACAATATGCTCCTAAATTGATTGGAGTATTATGTATCATTGCATTTCTTAATGAAATTGGTTTATAATTAACCATGTGATGGTTTGTGTTAATACTGGGAAATTAGCAGTTGTATAATGTGTTTACTTTTGTTTCTATTGAAGACTGTTTCCAAGTATAATAATGTAAATAACACTTATTGTGTATTTTCTTAATGAAAATTTAACTTTTATTGAAATGGGGATAATCCATTATAATCTCCGATAGCCATATTTTTTCTCGGATATTGGATAAAAATGGTTGGTGAAACAGTTTGTAAAGTGAAGAAGCTGCAGATGACTTATTTTTAACCAAGGGGGACACTATGAGACTTTAGTCTAAAAAGAATCCCAAATATGCAATCAAACTAATCAGGAGAGATTTTTCCTCTAATTTTGAGACCACTCTTGCTAATGCCTCTTTTGAAAGTACAGGCTCTGGGTCTTCTTAAACCTGACATTGATTTTAAAAAATATAATTGAAAATAGAGAAATGGCAAGAATGAAAGTGGAGACACCACCCATGCAGACACTGAAAAATTTATCTGTATTGGGGTTGATAGGAAGTTGAGAAAGACACGTTGTATAGAGAAGTTATGGGGGTGGAATTAAACTGAAGAAAGGAAATGGGCAAGAAAACAATATCCTCATAAAATAGGAACTAAAAGTGGAGAATATCTCACTTGTGGAGTATTTATAAATACAAATGCAACTAGTGTTCTTCCTACTGAATATGTTCTTAGTGTGTTAGAAGAATTAAACAGTGTAGATATTCTGTTCTTCTTGACAACATGAATACAAATGCTGGATGTAAGAAAAACCTTGGAACAGCTCGGGAGAAGTTACATACAGTTGGTTGCTCATTACATAAAATTGTTCTCATTCAGGACTGTTTTCAAATATATTGATAATAGTCTAAGGAAAAGCCCAACTGCTTCTTACATATCAACCAATGAAATTGTGAAAATGACAATCAAGATTTGCCCCAAATAGAATTCAGTGACCCTATAGATAACAAGGAATATACTGTGAGAACAATGGATGATCTAAGTGACATTAGCATATGTCCTAGGCATTTCCAGAGGTGATTTGCTGCCTGATAAATTGGACCAATAAATAATGCAATATGCTTAACAAGTAGGTTAATGTGTTTGTGTATCAGGTGTGCATACCCATCAGCATTGCTTAATAAAATTCACCAACCCATCAAATTTGTTATTGAAGTTATGCTGTTAGCTGGTTTGAAATTAAGAGGGAGGTCAACTTCAATAACCAACAACTTTATATATTCAATATAACTCAAAAGAATTAGGCAACAATTTGAAGAAATCCAGAGTATTGCATACAGAAACCTCCAATGTAATGCTTTCACTCTGCTAACTGAAAATGTATTGTATTCTATGATGAAGTTAGATGAGCTGGACAAAAGCTGTGAAAAAAAAATTGTCTTTTACAAAGTTGGGCTAAAAAGTGCATAGGCTGATTATAAAGGAGTGATGCTAGATCTGTGAAATTTTGGATGCATTAATTGCAACTCTTATTAATAATAGCATTGTTTCTTCCCGGGTAAACTGACATCTGATGGTTCAAAGAAGACTTCAAAAGTAACTAGTAGCCACTTCTCTTATTTAAGTGCCATAACCTTTCAGGGCAGATTCTCCACATTTTTTTTATTTTTTTTAATATGCATGAATTGTCATGACTTCTTGAGAAAGATAATGGAATAGTTTTATGTCGTTTTCTTTGTTTTTGTATTCAGAGTTGTTTAGAAGACTGACTGCCATCCAATTTTCTCTGCTAGAAAAAAAAATCCTGTTTTTCCTAAAGGTGACTTTAACATACTCAGCTGGAATTTGAAATATGAATGCCAATTCTAATTTCTGCACCAATAACCATTATGCTAATTGCATGTCTTTGATAAAAATGGAGAAAGAATATGTGGGAGTTTATTTTTGTTTGTTTTTTTTTAAATGAGGAATTATCATTACTATGTTTTACTATTCATGCTCATCTTAGTTGTTATGCTTCAATGTTTTGGTGTGAAGAAATCAATAGGATCCAACAGAAAAAAGGGGATCAGAAAAATCAAGATGAACCATGCTGTTCTGAATAACAAGTGGAAGAATTAGATGTGAATATTATCTGATTATTTTAGTGTGTTTATTTACAGATATTGAAATAAAACTTCTGAAAGTGTAAAAATATGAAACTTGGTAGTCAACAAAGAATATTGTTGAAAACTTATTTTCCTTTATTTCAAATGTCATCAATTTGTGTTTAATTCTCAAATTTTTGTTCTGTTATAGCTTTATCCTGGTGACTGATACTCATATGTTTGTGTTGCGAGAGATTCCAAAGCAAAAAGGCATGGCTTACATTCAGGCTCGTCGCGCTCTCAAGAGCATCCTTAAGATAACTTCAAAAAAGAAATGTCCAGACTTTATCTCATTCCGTTATGGTTACAGCAATGAGATGGGTTATGTTACTGACATGGATCGCTTTATCATTTCCAAGGCAACGGAAGCCACAACGCACATTAAAGAAGCAGTTCTTAAAGTGCTTTCTACCCAAGAAGGCTGACTTTCAGCATCTAGACTGATTTAAATAGAAACAAAAAGAAATCTTTGTTTTATGGGATTGAGATTCAAACTGTTTTTCAATTTCTTTCATGGAAATATTTAATTTTTTATTGTTTTAGAATTGTACATAAATTTTCAATCAGAAAATATGCAATGTTAAAAAATCCAATACTTATTCTATAATGAAAAAGCCTGTGAAGAAAAAGATAATTTGTTATAAATGATGTCAGCTTAAAATTTTCCAATGTGTGTATGTCCCCTTTTTGCTTTCAGTTGATTACATGTTCCCCATCTCACTTCTCATCACCTTTTTCACTTTCATCTTTTACTCTTCCTTGTTTGCCTGTAACTATTCTTATGTTCTTTTCTCTCTCAATTCTTTCTCATTTAAGATAAAAGAAAGTTATTTGTTCTCACCTCCCATTCAATCCATTTTTTTTTTATTTCTTTGATAATATTTTGTGAATAAAAACATTCTCGCACTTTGTAAAAGAAACAATGAAAATTTTAGTTTTAAGGTTTTCAAAAGAATCAGCATCTACAAACACACAATGATTTTTTTTCACACACACAGGCTTCTATGTAGCTATAAATAAACTGTAATTTTGCATATATCAGTTTAGAAACAAATATATACACCAGCAAATACACATTACTGCTTTACATATGAAGGTCTTGCATAGACACATCAAAATCTACATGAGCTTTATGAAGTTGCTTTTTTTTTTTTTTCTTCTGTGATCCCCTCCCACCCCGGCAATATTTGAAGAACAAATGAAACTTAATAAAATTACTCTGATTTGAATGATTATTATTAGTTGGAATTTTTACATCAAGCACATAGAAGGGATGTTTTTAGATTTCATTTTGGATTGAAGATTATCAGAATAACTAAAAATTTCACAATGATAATATAAACTTCTAGTTTTTTTTATTTTTCATCAGCAGGCACATTTTCCTGACTTTGAACTTAAAACAAGATACCAGAAAAGGATATTCTTTTCAAAACATTTCAAATGTTTACCTCAAAATGTTGTTTGTTATGGATTGTTTCAAATTTCTTGGATCTTTGAAGCTAAGATGATAAAGGTATTGTCAAGGGAGACAATCTAATCTTTGATTTCGTTTATATTTATTTCCTTGTTTCCAAATATTTGAAGACAGTAGCTAGCAGATGTTGAAAGTTAATTGGGTAGAAGCTAATGTCCTTGAATATGTCAGTCTGATGCAACCGACACAAATGAATGAAAACCGTTTTTCTTTTAATCTATCTTACACAGAAAACAATATCCTTAGATGTCTTTATTATCTTAGTAAAGTATGATCTTTATTATGGTTATTTATTGAAATGAATTTACATCTTCCCTTCCTTGATCTATAATTATAAAAATTATCGTTATCACACTTATCCTTGGTCTGTGACTTTCTCAAATTGGTTTGAGATTGTGATGAATTCTAAAAATGCCAGTGATTTCTTTAAACTGCCACAATGGTGAGAAAATATTTTAAATCAGAGCTGTTATCCATTTAAGCAAAATTGTGTACATTAAATTCTTTAAATATTTAATATTTTAATCAAAATATTGTTTATATTTAGTCAGTTTCACTTGCAACCCTTAAATTATAGTTTTAAAACTAAAGCAAATGTTTTCTCAAAATCATTGACATTTGCTAGCAAAACCAAATTATTTTTTCTGAATCCTTAACCCATGAATTCATGTGTCTAGAGAATATTAAATGTACATTCAGAATAGATAACAAAATTTTTCTTAACGGTATTATCTAAAGAAAAACAAGCTTGTCTCCCTTTTATCATCTCTTATGGAATAAATTACTGCATTAATTTTGCATTTTTTTTTTTTTTTTTTTTTTCAAAATACCTAAACGGAACTACTGTAGGTAAAATATTTTTATTTATGTACCCAAACACACTTTTTATGCATATATATATATATGTTTCATTAAATAATATAGACAAGTGTTTTCTATTTATTTTATGTAAATTCTTTTCATATCGTCTGATAAGCTTAATAAAATTATTAAACAAAGAGAAAAAAAATCACAATATTGATACATATTTTTTAATCCTATCTATGCAAGCTTTCAGCTTACATAAGCCATTATCAAAGATGACAATTACATTACAATATATTAAGCAATACATGGACAAAAACAATGAACTCAATACTAATAAAATCCCCTTCCTTGACATATTGATAAACACAAATAAATTTACTATTTCGCCATACATACCAGCAAAAATTCATGTACACTTAACTACAAGAGCGAATGCCCATATTACTACAAAATAGCAATTATAAAGAATCTAATACATCGTGCAGAAACTAATTCATCCACAAAACAGATTTTTTACAATGAACTAAAGAATATAAAACAAACACTTATTATTAATTGCTTTCCAAACTATATAGGTGATGAACAAATAAGATGTTTTCTTAAGAAATCTCAATACTAAGCAAATAGAACATAATACTGATCTCAAACATATTAATCTCCTATATCGTAATCAAATGCATACTAATTATAAACAAGATGAAAATATACTAAAATAGTTAGTAAATACTAATATATCAACAACAGATCCTAGCAAAAAAATTAAGTTAATCATATGCTACACTAAATCTAGTATATCCAACTCAATTATTTGCAATGATTCTTCTCCCCCGGTTAGCGATTTGCAGAAAACCAACATAGTTTATAAATTCAAGTGCCCTTTGGGAGATTGTCTCTCCAACGAATTAAATAATATTTATGTTGGTCAAACTCGCTTTCACGAAGCTTAACACTACATTTGAATGATAACTCTTAACATTTTTAGGCATTTAAAACAACATGCCTGGCCGCACACACAATTCCGTAAAATCCTTGTCAAAAACACAATTATACTTAAACATGAAGACAACAAACAAATACTAAAAATTCTTGAAGCTATATACATAAAACAGTTGAAACCTAACCTGAACAAAATAAACTATGAAATCTCCACAAATATTCTTAAATGCTATTGGTAACAGAAGCCATTGGTTTATACCAACGGCTTCACATACTTAATACTTCTCGTTTTCACCTCCGCATGGTTATGTGTGATGTCTTGAGCTGTGGTGCGATTTTCGCTTCCAGCTTATATGCACGAGTTTGTTGTTGCTTGGAATACTTACTGAAAGCTTGCTTAGATTGGATTAAAAAATATGGATCAATATTGTGATTTTCTTTCTTCATTTAATGATAATGTTATTAAGCTTATCAGATGATATGAAAAGAATTTACATAAAATAAATAGACAACAATTGTCTATATTATTTTAATGAAACCTGCATCAATGAAAAAATCTGCCTAAATACACACAAAATATATATATAATCTTTATTATAGGTTATTACATTCGAACATACATTTCCACTACAAAAATGCATTAATGTTTCAATGCATCTCATCAGGTGGTGTTAAAATGATGGTTATAACAACTTTTAATAATATTTATAAAACATCTCATCTCTGTGGAGAAAAAAAAAAAAAAAAGGACACAAGATATAGTCAGTGAAAAAAAAGAAAAATGTGATAAAAGAGAAGAAAGACCCAAGATATAATCTCTTCTCCAAAAAAGAGATAAAAATAAATATGAATATGAGGGCAATATAGAAATGAAAAAAACATGAACGTTATCTTATGGAAAATAGATTTAAATTTAACCAAAAATCATGTCTACTCCATGAAAGACTCTTTTTTTTTTTTTTTGGATACATTATGTCATATAAACAGTTATCGTTTTCAAAGAAGAGGCAACAAATTTAAGCAATAATTATACATAGTATGTAAATAAAAGGAATATGTATAATTATTGTTTAAATTTGTTGCCTCTTCTTTGAAAACGCCAACTGTTTATCTGATGTTATAAGGTATCTAAAAAAAAAAAAAAAAAATCTTTCATCGAGTAGCCATGAATTCCAGTTAAATCTATTTTCCATAACATCTTACTTAACGTAAATGATTTTCATTGGTTAAAGCAATTCACATGTCTGGTCTTCTCTTTTTTTCATTTCTATATCATATTCATATTTATCTTTTCTGTTTTTTTTTCTCAGAGAAGAGATTATATCTTGGGTTTTTCTTCTCTTTTATCTTTTTTTTTTTCTTTCTTCTTTTTGCTGACTATATCTTGTGCTCCTCCCCAAAGGGGGGTTTAGAAAAGATGTCTTCTAAGTATTTTTAAAAATTCTTATAACGATCATATCACCACTGCCTGATGAGATGCTAGTTAAGGCATTTAATGTGGAAATATGTATGTTCGACTGTAATAACCTATAATAAAGAATTATAGCTCTACTTTTGTATTGAGCGTTTTTTTAAAATTAATGTTATGAACATTAGAATTTATATTTCAATCATTCTTATTGCATTTGGAGACAGACATACATACATATATGTGTGTGTAAGCAAATATATGGATATAAATCCGACAATATGAAGAAAAATATATACGGAAAAAACAAACAAAAATCCTTATATACAATTATGCTGTTTTAATGTTAATATGTCAACGTTGTATAAATAAACCATCTAAACAGATAACTGAAAGTTTTATAAAACTTTCAGTTATCTGTTTGGATAAGTCTTGTTCTTATGTATATCGTCTTTGTCATGTTGAATTGATAATGTTATAATTTATGAATATGTCCTGAAGATGGTTTATTAGACCGAAACGTCCGACGTTGACATATTAACATTAAAACAGCATAATTGTATATAAGGATTTGTTTGTTTTTTCCGTATATATTTTTCTTATATATATATATATATATATATATAATCAACTAGGTCTGCCTGTTTAGCATGTCATTACATTTATATAAAGCTAATAAAAATAAAAAAAATTTAGACATTGTCAACTGATTTTTATTAAAAATATATGCTGCCTAAACATGATATATATACATACACACTCTTCCATACACAGCTTGTAAGGCTTGAAATGTCTTGCAT